ACGTCGGGCGTAGTTAGTACTTGGATGGGTGACCGCTTGGGAACACTACGTGCCGTTGGCTTTTTTTTGTCGATAAATACAATATTTATTTTCAATTTTAACTTGATCATATAAAAGATATTTTTGCAGTTGACAATTATTTTTTTTTTACAGTTTTTAAATTACACAATTTAAAATTATTGATAAATTCAAAAACTAAGAGGATATTTTGGTTAGGTGTCCGATGACACAAGCCCATTAACAAGCAACAAGACGATGTATTTCACTGCCGAACATTAAGATAAGTGTAGCGTCCGAAGCTATCGAAACAAAGGGTACTCCGATGCAAATTTTGGCAGACGTTTCCAATAACACAGAAAAAACAGGGATCGAGTTCATGGTATATTATAATATTGAAAATAGTCACCGTTTCTTTTGGAAATGACAAAAAGGTTTTTTCGCCGTATATTATGCTGCGCGAAATGCAATTCGTAGCATATAGTTTACTATTTTTAAATAACTACTAAAAATTGTGTTTAACGTAAATGAACGTTTTTGTAATGTTATTTAATCGGCTTTTCATAATCTGTGATTATGCCATAGATAATAGATATTATATTTAATATATTTCATGGATTATATCTTTATAAAAATCGTAATATAAAATAATTATAATTTCATTGAATGATGTAATAACTCGACTTATTCCAATTCCTTAAGTATGATTTTTTTTTATCATAAACTGTTAATTAATACCACGGTACACGGGTTCGTGAAAACGACGTTGATTGCCGACCGGTAAAAAGTGATAACAAAAATAATAAATAGGTAAGCGTTTCTTTCTTTTAAAATATTTTTATATAATAAATGTAATAATTTTTTTGGGATTATGGGTAGCTAAACGCTCGTTTTCATCCAACTCCCACCAAGTCCATCTTCTATTTTTTTCCATATCAAGCACTGCGAGCTTATCCTTATATAAATCTTAAACATCGATAAATCATAGATTTCTTTTCTCTAACACTGGGCTGCCGTCAGCACAACAACTAATTAATGGATGTTAGTGATGTTACATATTATGGATTAAATTATTTGTTAATTATAAGAAGGTAAGTACATTTTCTGAATAGACTAAATTAGAATGCATTTCAGTACATCGGTTTTTGAGTATAAATTCGAATTTACGTATTCAAAATTATAAGTGTTTTAAATAATATTTAAAAAAATTTGTTAACCAATATTTTAACTCTATTTAATATTATTTATACTCTTGTAGTATAAAAACTAGAAAGTAGGAAATAACCTAAGTATTTTTTTCAAAATTGTTCGTAATTATTTATAATTTCATACAAGAGTTATATGTTTAGCTGAAAATTTATGTTTGATTACATTTCCAGCATAATAATATAAAAATTAAAAATACACATGTAGATTTTTGAAGTTTTATTTTTTCAAAAAAAGAAAATATCTCTACATTATTTTTTTTTATATGTTAATAATTATACTTATTTATAATTACATTTTGACTATATCTTTTAATTCTTTTTTTTATATTATTATTTGTTGCTATAAATATTTATGTTTTAATTTTAGAGTTGGAAAACTATACAAGATAGCTTAACAACATTTAAGTTTTGACAACGGTTTACTTCGCTTTTCACTTGAATCATTTTAAATTCATCTGGCAATTCATAAGAGTAATAATTATGTTGAGTAATTTTTATTAATTCATCTGATTTATTATTTCGTAAATCTTTATTTGATTTATTTCTCTAATGTTGTTTTAGTTCATTATCTCTCTTTTTTTATTTTAGTATTCGATTTTTGTTTTACTTGCTAATTTAAGGAGCTATTGTGCTTAACAATTATAAATTTATCGGGTGATTCTTCGTTTATAGTGCCCGCGTGTTTTCATCCGATTTAAATATTATACCTTTCTTTTCCTATTTTTAGTTCCAGATTTTTTTTTAGATTTCTTACTTTGGGATTCATACAATTCATTATTAAATTCGTCGCTTGGTTCCTCATTTTCTAAATTATTTAATTTATTTTCTAATTTACCACTTGATTCATTTTTTAATTTATGACTTGATTTTTCGCCTATTTTACTAGTTGTTTTTTTATGCTGATGTTTATTTTTTAAACTATTAGCTTGCTTATTATACGTATTTCCGTGTTTATTCTTTATAGGATTATTTAATTCTTCATCTGATTCGCCACTCAATTCCTTTTTTAATTTATAATTTGAACTTGTATCCACTTTTTTATTCAATTTCTGTTTTTTACGGTTATTTTTTAAATTATGATCTTGTTTGTTTGATACATCGCTATATTCATTTTCAATTGAATCATTTAATTCTTCGTCTGATTCGCCACTCAATTTTTTTTTTAATTTATCATTTGAACGTGTATCTACTTTTTTTTTCAATTTCGGTTTTTTACGGTTATTTTTTAAATTATGATCTTGTTTGTTTGATACATCGCTATATTCATTTTCAGTTGAATCATTTAATTCTTCATCGGATTCATCACTCAGTTCTTCTTTTAATTTATTACTTGATTTTTTGCCTACTTTACCAATTGTTTTTTTATGCTCATGTTTATTTTTTAAACTATTAGTATCCTTATTAGACATATCTGCATGTTTATTCTTTATAGAATTATTTAATTCTTCATCTGATTGGCCACTCAATTTCTTTTTTAATTTATTATTTGAACTTGTATCCACCTTTTTAATCAATTTCTGTTTTTTACGGTTATTTTTTAAATTATGATCTTGTTTGTTTGTTACATCGCTATATTCATTTTCAATTAAATTATTTGATTCTTCGTCTGATTCACCTTCACTTGATTCTTCTTTTAATTTATTATTTGACCTTTTACCTACTTTGTTATCCAATTTATTCTTTTTATGGTTATTTTTTAAATTGTTAGCATGTTTGTTTGATACATCGCTATATTCGTTTTCATTTGAATCATTTGATTCATCGTCTGATTCACCTCCACTTGATTCTTCTTTTAATTTATTATTTAAGCTTTTATCCACTTTATTACTTGGTTTTTGTTTTGTGCGCTTATCATTTAAATAACTATGGTCTTTATCTAATTTGAAATTACACACTTTTTTTAATTTATTGCTTGGTATTTTTCTAACATGACCGCTTGTTTTTTGTGTTACATCGCTATATTCAATATCTGTCGTATCACTTAAGTCTTCATCTGATTCATCCAATTCACTATTCAGTTTAATTTTTAATTTATTATTAGGTTTTTGTTTACAATTACTATTTTTAAGGCTATTAGAATGCTTGTTTGATTGATTGGTTTGAGCTTCTTTTAATTTATTTTTTATTTTTTTATTAATTTTTTTATTACTTGAACTAGATTTTTGATGTTCATTTTTTAAATTTTTTTGACCTTTACTGAATTTATTATTTGATATCTTTTCTGATTTTTCATTTGAATTTTTACTTAAATGTTTTTTTGCTACATTTTTTAAATATTTATCAGAATTGCGTGAATCGTCTAAATTAGGTCCAGTTATTTTATTCAATTTATTTGACTTTTTCATTGACATATCTATTGTTGTATCCATTAATTTTTCGTGTATCTTATGAGATGGTTTTTTATAAGATTGCTTACTTGTTAAACTATGTGGATATATAATAGATTCATCACTCGATTCATCTTTTGATTTATGACTAGTTTTATCTTCTTTGTTAGTATCCATTTTCTCTATTAATTTATTCTTTACTAATTCTTCATTATGGTGTTGATTATTAAGCAATTTTGTTTTTGTATTGCTCTTTTTATTATCTTGTGAATCGAGATTATGATTATTATATTTACTTAATTCCAATTGTGATTTATCTTGTGATTTTTTATAAGTTACATCTCTAGATTTTCGTAGATTAGCTTGATGAATTTTCTCTTTTTCATGATTTTTGGAATATTTTTTTCCATGCTTTCGGCCATCGATATCAATTACCCAATTAAATGGAGTTTCCAAACTATTTAGATTGTTATTAATATTGATGTCGTTATACTTATCCTCAAGGGCCTTTTTATTCGCTAAATTTAAATTATACGTGTCTATAGTGTCTTTCTTGTCAAAATCTAGGTATGATAAAAAATAGAAA